ATTTTTTGGAAAGATCTAATGTCTTTGATGAGATATTCTGTTGGCTCATAGCTCCCAATGCTGGCGTTTTTATATTTACTTCACTTTTTACACCTGTATTCCCTCGATTTGTACTTCTTTCTGGAATTGTAGGCTCATCCATGTTTTCAAAGTCTATTTTAACAATAATTATTTATTACTTAGTTAAAAAAAATACTATAAAACTTATATATATAATAATGTACTTACCAACAGTTGTTAATCTATCTCTCAATGTTTTTAACACCACCGCCGTAGATCTCGATCCTTTTGGTGCATTCCGTATAGGATTACCCTCCCAGCCTAAAAAGTCCAGGGCCGTCAACATGCCTAATTCTGCTGGCAAGACTTTAAGGTCATTATTACTTAGATCTAAACGTTTTAGACTTTTTAATGTTAATAAACCTTCAGGAAGTTCGTGAAGTTTATTATCACCAATATCAAGAATTTCAAGATCAGGAGTTGTATGAAGTAACGGGCCAAAAGTTTCAAATTGATTAAATGAAGAAAGAAATTCTTTAAGTTTCGGAAGTTTTATTGATGGATGAAAAACGGTAGCATCTTGTGATTCATCCAAAGCTTTTAATCGATTTTGACGAATATCTAATCTTTTTAATGATAATAATTCAACGGTTTGACCATTTAATCCAGTAAAAACTATTTCTAATTTATTTTCATTAATTTCAAGTTCTTCTAAATTCCTCATTCCACTTATTGCCATACCAGGAATTTTTGTTAATTTATTCTTTGCAAGATTTAATTTTCGAAGATTTTTTAAATTTTCCAATTCCTTTGGTAATCCTGTAATTTCATTCGATGAAATATCAAGTAATTCTAATTTAGACAAGTTACCGAAAGAAGAATCTAAAACACCAGTTAATTTGTTTGAAGAAAGTTGTAACTCGACAAGAGAAGATAATGTAGTCAAACAATCTGGAAGTTCATTAAAATGATTAACTGATAGATTAAGGGTAGTAAGACTTTGCAATTCTCCAAATTCTTTTGGAAGAGATGATAAATGATTATTATGAAGCTAATATAATTTAAAATTTTAAGTAATTATTCATCAAATTCACTCATTAAAAATAATATTTTTTTTTCATAAATTATAATAGAAAACTTACATCAATAAATACGAGTGCATTAAATTCAGCGATTCGTTTATCAATTACTTCAAGTTGATTATCTGCCGCTACCATCCTTATAAGGTCAACTGTTTCATACCATACATCTGAACCTCCACCACTAAAATCAATAGTGATACTTTTTGGATCAACTTCGTACATTCTCCATACTTCTTCCGGAATTGCTTTAAGAGATCGATGTGAGATGTTTATACGACCTATAAAAAAAAAAAATGAAAAAAAAAAAATACAAAATTAAAATTTTTATATTATTTCCACTTTATTATAATATTATAATTTATACCTGATGATTTTGCTTGTTTAACTATTACGTTCAAGCTTTTACTACCAGTTTCTTGTTCTTCTTCTTTCACAGAAGTTTTAGTGGTTGCTTTTTTTTAATCTGGCTTGGGCAATTGCATCTTTAATAGACGATGAAGCAGTTGCTCTAACAGGTTTCAATGTTGTTGCAGATGAAGGTGATGGAGATCTTGAACGTTGTGAAGATGTATTTTTTGGTGATAAATTATTTGAAGAAACAGATGCACCTGATCTTTTGACAGTTGATGAATTTTTGGAACTACTTTGATTTGATTGTAAAGAGGATGAAGTTGTGGTTTTTTGAGAATTACCAGAAGATGTTGACCTAGCAGTTTTAGCCCCTCGAACGGGAGTTGAACCAGTTGAAGTTTTACGCATATTTAATATTAATCACTTATTTTAGCAAATAAACGCTAAAGCTATTGTAAAAAAATGAGACCGGAAATTTATAGAATTTTGTTAATGTATCAAAGATTATATAAAATCCTACCGCGATCAATTCGATTGTCCTTAAATATGTTTGATAGATGAATTTATGATTCACATAATGATTTTGAGTAACAAACAAACCTTTATTTTAAACTCAGTCACTACTGTGGCGAATATATGCGTATTAATAAAAACTAAACTACTTTAGTACAATGAAGAACCTTTTAAAAAGAAAGATTATTAAACTATTTCAGCTGTATATTATATGCAGTAATTACTATATATAAGACATAAGTGGTTCAGTTGTCATTTTATATCGGATTAACGGTAATACGAAGTCCTTTTTATGCATAATAGGAACGAATAATTAAAAAATGTATATTATACGCACAATGATGCAACCCCTTGTCACAGTTTTCGCGTGAGAATGCAAAGTTTACCATTATGTTTGTACAGTAATTGCCTTTCTAGAACTAATTCATGTAATGTTTTTTTTTGAATGATAATTTTTTTTATATTTTGTATAACTTGTCACTTGACATTTTTCTATTTTTCTTTATAAAACCCTTAAATGAAAACCCACAAGTATTTGAAATAACTTGGCGTTAGTTTCATAGATTAATTTCCTACTTGTCTTAGAATCTCCGATTTTTCATCTTTACGATGGTGCATCAATTTTCTTTAGCTAATAATAACTTTAATAGAAAACTGGATTTTTACTAAGTAAATCGAACTTCCTAAGTAAAGTTGTCCGAAATATTAATTTTTCACTTTCGAATTTTGGAAATATTATTTTAAGTGTCAAACTAAAGCATATTAACCAAAAATTCGAAGATAAATAAAATTAATGTTTCGAATAACTTTATTAATGTGTGAAATTTGATTTCATTTACCTCTCTTTATCTTAAAGTAATTACTAGTGAGGTGTAATGTACGTGTGTTAATTATAACTTAAGTGTTTCTAAAAATTATAGTTGTATTATTATTTATTTTCTAATTAACGTGATACCAGATATCATGTTTTTTTTTATTATTATTATAGTCTAAATACTATACAAGAAGTGTTTTGTCTATTCAATATTTATAAAATTCAAGACATTTTTTACTTTACATTAAAGGTTCCCAAAGTCATCTTTAAGAATAGAAATAACGTAGTTCATTCTCAAATATAATTTTTAACAGCATAGCAACATTTTTTCAATGTTTTCCCAAGCGTCATCAAATTGTCCTTGTTCTCTGTAAACAGCACTTAGTTCACATAACGCCAAAGCGTTATTCGGATCCCTTTGGATAACTTTATTCAGATCAACCAAGGCTTTATCATATTTTTTATATATTCGATAAATTGAACCCCTATAACATAATCCGATCGTGTACATTTCAGACATAAGGTCAATTTTTGATTCAAAAACCACTTTCAAATCTTGATAAGCCTCTGGATATTTTTCCAAAGACTTATAAATTCCAGCACGAGTAATGTAAAATTGGCACATATTTTTTGGTTGATCTATATTATTATTTAAATCATTTAATGCCTCTTCATATCTACCTAATTGTTTATAAACTTCAGCTCGATAACATAATAAATCAACATTTTGTGGAAATAATTTTAATCCTTCATTAAAAATAGATAATGCTTCTTCATATCTACAAAGTTTTGATAGAATTCTTCCTCGATTTAGAAGAATTACTTTGATGGCTTTTCTATCATATTCAGAATCAGATTTTAGATTTAATAATTTATATAATTTATTCCAATCTGATAATGAATCAAAATATAATGATAGTGATTCACATAAATCTGCATGTTGATGTATAATTTTAAGATTAGTTGGTTGTAATTTTATTATACTTGCCAAAGCTAATCTAGCTTCTTGTTGATGACCTAATTTTTTATATGCTAATCCACGAAGTTGATGTATTTGTGCTATTATCTTAGGATCTTGAGTAAATTCCAATGCTTTATTTAAATCTGGTAATGCTTTTTCAAATTCACCTAATTTGAAAAAAGTTTCACCTCGGTCAAAACATATATATTTTTCATCTTGTGGTTTCATTTCTAATACTTTATTGAAATCGGTAATTGCTTCTAAATATTTCTTCATTACTAATAAAGATTTACCACGATACCTATATCCTGAAGGATGTTCTTCAATTTTTAATGATTTATCCAAATCTTCCCAAGCTTCCAAATGAAATTTTGATAAAAAATTAATTTTTCCACGATTTCTTAAAAGTCTTGGATTTTGTGGATCTAATTACTCTACAAGAGCTCTACACCACTATTAACAACTCTCCAAGCAACAAAGCTCCTGGCCCTTCACTAATTTCCAATGAAATGATCAAAAAAGCAGGCGACAACTTCCTAAAAATACTTCTACTTCTATTTAACAAATGTCTTATAACCCA